AGGGGCTGGTGAGATGGCTCTGTGGTCTAAAGCACCTACTTAGAACAAGCTTAGCAAAGCACAGGGACTGTGGTTCAATCCCCCAGCACCACATGCCAGCCAGCCCTGCCCCCTGGTGGGCTGAGCTGGCCACACACACACACACAAATAAAATTAAAACACACACACACACACACACACACACACACACACACACCCCATGTATGATCTGTATTTGGCTTTTTCTTTTTTGAGATAGGGCTATGTAGCTCAAGCTGGCCTCATGGCAATCCTCCTGCCTCAGCATCCTGAGTGCTGTGATTACAGGTGTGTGCTACCATGTCCAGCTATTCTATTTCATTGTCTTTTCATCAATACCAGTGTTTCTTGATTTCTAGAATTTTTTGTTTTGTTTTGTTTCCCTGGGGATTGAACCCAGAGTCTTCATACTGAGACTCCCCCTCCCGCACCCCCCCTCCCCGTTCCCCTTCTTACGTCTTATATTTCAAGACAAGGTCTTGGTAAGTCACTGAGTTGCTTAGGCTAGCTCTGAACTTCGGATCGTCCTGCCTCAGCCTCTCACAGGACTGGAAACACAGGCTTGTGCCCCACCTGGCAGGTGGCTGTGGTGCAGAGCAAGCATGTCCTGTCTGGGGCTGAGTTGCTCCAGTCTCAGCTATCTACAGGGCAGGCGGTGCAGGATGTCTCCACACCGTTCTGTGCAGCCCCCACCCAGCAACAGCCTGGTGCATGGCTGTCTGCTGAGTGAATGGAAGACATCTGAATGTTGACAACACTTTAAGATCCCTTACATACTAGCTTTCTGTTGCTGTAACAAAAAAATCTGAGCTAATCAACTTCTAAAGAGAAAGGGCTGTCTCACAAGCTTGTGGGTTGAAAACCAATGAGGTCATGATCAGGGAAACAGAACAAGGCTGGTGGCCGCAAGGGCATCCTCCAGGGTCCTAGGGACTCTCACAAGGTGACCTACTTTCCAAGATCCCACACCAAGCGCCTCACTGGAGACCCAGCCTTTAAGACACAGCTCTTAGGGAGACAGGGTCCAAACAGAACCTTACCAAGGAGCATGTTAGGACTCACACAAAGAAAGACAACTAAACGCAATTCTAGGCAAATGTTTCTAAAGCCCAGAAGACCCTGTCATTAGGAGTAGCGTGTGATAATAACAATAGCTGAATCCTGTACTGCTTTCCTGAGGGCAAGCATGGATCCACCTGCACCCCATAGTTAAGATGTCACCTCTGTGGCCACAGCCCAAGAATCAGGTAGAAGAAAGGCAAGGAAAGAAGGGGCCCAGGGCAGACTTTTCTCAAGCAAAGTCCCAGCAGTGCCATACGACACTGACACTCCGATTTATGTCTCCTTGGAGGTGTGACCACACATAGCTGCATGGGAAGACTGAAGTGTAGACTTTATTTACCATGTTCTGTATTTCTCAGGTTTGGTTTTCTATCATGCATGATAAGAATCAATTTATACACTGTTTCCTTGAGTGGTGTCTTAAATATTAACCTGATTGAGATGGTACCTGCCAGGAATTCTAGAGGCCGAGGCAGGAGAATCAGGTTCAAAGCCAGTCTGTGTAACTGAGTGAGACCTTAACTCAAAATAAAAAAATTTAAAGAGGGGCCTGGGATATAGCTCAGTGATACAATGCCCTAGGCTCAATTTCCAGTATGCAAGAAGGAAGAAAGGGAGAAAGGATGAAAGGGAGAGAGGGAAGGAGGGAGGTTAATGGTATTTTAAAGTTTTAATTTAGAAATGACAAACAGCAGCTAATATTAACCATAAAGGTCACAAAAGTCTTTGGGGGAGGATGTGACCCCACGTAAATCCAAGCAGAACAAGTCATTCATGTTCTTAATAGTACCAACCCATCTAGGTGGACCTGTACCAAAACCAAATGTCTATAGGACCAGACCTTAGAAGGTAGGTCCAGTTCAGGATGTACTTTTTTTTTTTTTTTTTTTTTTTGAGACAGGGCCTCACTATGTAAAAGGCTCGTCTTGGACTATGTAGCCCAGGCTGGCCTCAAACTCATGGTGGTCCTCCTGCCTCAGTCTCCCAAGTGCTGGGATTACAGGCATGTGCCACCATGCCTGGCACAGAACACATTTTATACAGTGATAATATAAGTAAACCAATACATTTCATACTTCAGAAGCACCGACAAGAAAATGACATGCGCACCCTGGTTAGTAGGATGTTCAGAAATATTGGAAACTGTTCTCAATGCCTCTAAATGTCATTTGCACACCTAGCATGCCAAAGGCATATTTTTCAATTTCAACATTATCAAAGATTTTTTTAAAAAAACCATCAAAGATACTGAAAGAATGTGCTCAACAAATGTAGCTACTTGCTACAAATTATGTGCTCATTCTCTCACATACACAAACACACATTCTGGTCTCCCTCAAAACTCACATACACAGTCTCTCAAAACACTCTCTCTCTCTCTCTCTCTCTCTCTCTCTCTCTCTCTCTCTCTCTCTCAAAACTCACACTTGTTCAATTACCCCAAGACAGGGTATTGCTGAACCCATTTCGCAGACAACAGCAGAGATCCAGAGCTGCCTACCCCACTCTAGACGCTGCCTTGGGCCAAGTCCCTTGGACACCCCGCGGTGGGCCCATGTCCACCTTCTTGGATGCACTCCGTGCCCTGGAAGAGTTTGTGGGAAACACCCACTCCCCTGGAAGTTCCACAGCAACCCTAAACACAGGTGAGGAGAAATACTCCATTTATGTAAGAATATTCTTCATGTAGTGTTGGTTTTAATCAAGAACTGCCCACACCTAAATGCTTACTTGAATGTGCCAGTAGCCACACGATGGTCATCCATAGAATTGATGAATTAGTTCATAGGAATTCTGGTCACCAGGCATTTTAATATGTTCTAATAATCAGGGCAGACGTTAGTACCCCCCCCCACACACACACACAATCAGGACAGTAGGAATACAGTCCCAGAATTTGGTGAACTTAACTCTGGTTAGAGGATAACAACAGATATCACGTTTTTCCCTTTGATTTTTGTGTTTTAGTTTTTCCACATGAATATATTTACTTTGATAAAGTATATATATTATAAAGTATATAAATATATATAAAGTATATATTTACTTTTAACATTCTCGTAATGTACCTTTCATGCTCCAATTATCATTATTTTTTTTTTTTTTTTAAAGATAGGGTCTCACTATGCAGTTCAGACTGGCCTTAAGCTCACTATGTTGCCCAGGCTAGCTTTCAACTCCCAGTGATTCTTTGTAGGGATCTGTAGGTTCTACCCAGGGAGAGACGGCAGCAGAAATGAGACGAAGCTGGGCTAGGTAGTTGCTGGTTTACCTGATAGGCAAGCCTAACACAACATTTCTGCAGTTAGTAACACAGGACACAAGCTTGCCTAGTGACTCATAGCTGACCTTAACCAGACAGGATGTTTATTTCAGGACTGAGGTAGCTTGTTTCCTTAAGGCACTGAGGCCTACTCCCACCTACGCATTTGATCAATTTCTTAGCTTCCTGGTTCCCAACAATTCTCCTGCCTCAGCCTCCCAAGTGCTAGGATTACAGGTGTGCGCCACCGCACCTGGCCTCTCTGATCTTGGGTTCTGGATGTTTCCTTTCTAAAGAGGTGGTTGATTTTTTTTTTTATTTTCTATATTAATTTTATTCAGAAATAGCATTGCAACAGTTTCAAAATAGGTTAGTAGGACAGTTACAATAATATATCGCATATTGTTGTCTTCATAGTAGTTATTCATAGTACAAGATGCAGAAATGATATTCTGTCAACACTATTCATACCAGAGGTGGTTGATATTTTTATCGGGCTACCTATGCCCCCCCCCCCAACTCTGGGGCCTTGTACACTTGAGGCAAGGGCTCCGCCACTGGATCCATTCTAAAGTTTAAATTTTAGTATTGCCCCAAGAGATGACATTCTTAAGTACAAACACTGAAAGTCTGGCAGCCACTGCAGCTCAGCCCCTGAAGGCAAACTTCCCGCCCCTCAGGGTAGTGCCAGGCTGAGCAGAGGTCTGTGAGGACCAAGTGCAGCTACAGCACACTACACTGAAAATAATCTAGAATAGCAGTGGTCTTTTCCTTCTCTAACAGATTTACTGTACAGTAAATGAAGCCAAGTTTCAGACAAGGTCTGAGCGTTCTGGGGCAGGATGCAGAGATCACCTGCAGTCCTCAGCTGCTGACCAGCAACCAGCAAGGCCTGACTCCCTAGAGCACCACCCCCTTTCTGTCCCTCTCTAAGTCCTCAGCAAAGGAGATTTGTCCTTGCAGCTCCTCCTCCAACCCCTTTTCTACAGGGTGCTGCTTCTTCTTCCTGCTTTCTTCCCAAGACTCTCTGCTCTTGTCTGCACACACACCCAGCAGAGCTCCTTGTCCTGGCCCCAAGGACGGCTTGGGGAAGGGCAGAGGCCTTCTGTGGGGTCTCCCACTTGCCCTGGGCAAGGGTCTGGATGTGAACAGTGTGGAATTAGCAGTAAAGCCATCTGCCCTCCCAGACAGAAGGCAACACATTCCTGACTAAGCTACTTTGAATAAATTCCGGACACTTCCAAGTAAGACAGTCCTCATGTTTCCTTTGTGTATTTTCCCAATTTTCCTTAATAAAAAATTTAATTTTAGTGGAAAAAAATAACAGCAATTTCTCTCCCTGCCTGTCCCTCTCCACCACCCCTTATGAAGGCAGCTTATTTCCAGAAAGCCCACCTGCATTCACTTTAATATCATCGTTCAGAGACTCTTCTTATGAAGTGTCTGCACCTCAAGTGACAAACCCTCAACAACAGAAAATCCACAGCACCCAGCAACGCAGGGTCCACGGGGTCAGAGCCCATGAGACAAGCAAACTGAGAAGCGGTGGCTGGTTCACAGGGCTAAGAAAGACCGCGGCTGCCATGAACACACATTGCCAAGAGCGATGATGCCAAGTTATCGTGCAGATTTAAATGAGAAAAATTAAATACCACCATCATTTGGGAAATGTAATTTATTGATCAGAAATTCCCAGCAGAGCCCCCTCCTCCAGTCCCTCTGCAAGGAGATGCCTGTGCAAATCAATTAGAAAACAAGCCCGGCGGTCTGCAGGTGTGTGAAGAGCTCCCTGCGCTCCACAGGCAGAGAAGGGCAGCAGCGGAAAGCACACAGCTGGCCTCAAGGTGAGACCCAAGAGCCAGCTTTCTGGGTGCTGCTGGAAGAGGAAAGGCATCAAGCAGAATCTGCAGAAAATCAAATCTGTCATGATTGCCATTCCGACCTTAGGTTAACTGCCCAAACTAGCTGACCTAATCATTAGTTTATTTTTAAAGCAAACCAAGTGTATATGGCATCTCTTTAAAAATCATGTAAACATTGCAAAGTTTTTATGGGGTTATTTATAATCTGAAGAGGCTTATAAAAATTATTGGACTTGTTAAGACTATAAATACTAACCTAACCCCCTTCCCTCATGAAAAAGCAATTGTTACAAAAATATAAAAAATATAATAGCTTGTACTATTTAACCCTCCTGCCAGAAATCTTACGACTCTGGGACACATTCTGGTTTATGCCACAGTAAGCACAAGCACGACATTTTCAATTTTGTGAGGAAGGAGTTCCAAACATTCCCTTTTGTTATCCGAGACCGTGGCTGCTTTCCTCACTGGTACAGTAGTGTGAGCAAGGACAGCGTGGGGTTTGCGTGCATTTCCCAGCATGGAAATCAGCACAGGGAGTCCCTTCAGACTGCTCTCTCCAGCTCCCTTGGGTCCACTTTGTAACCGCTGGTCCCAACACCTGAGCTGGCCCCAGCTTCCCTCACTGCCCACTACTGAGTGCGGATGATGAGAGGGGCAGGGCTACTGGTGAAGGGGACAGCCAGGTGTGTGGCCAGTGGCTGCGGTTTGCTAATGCAGGGACACTACTCTCCTGGCTGGACAGATGCCCGTGGCTGCCTCTCATGGGGGAAGGCAGAAAGGAATGCTTTGCATGAAATCAAAATACTTCAACAAACTTTGAAACTGACTGCATTCACTCCTGCACTGCAGCCTGTCTACCAGGAGCTCCAAATGGGCCAGTCTGAAACAGAGCAAGGAACTACAGGGGCGGGGCTGTTGGTTGGTCAACTCCATAAGGACCCCTTCATGGCTGAGGTTTCATTCTCACCTTGTCCAGCAGCCACCAGCAGGGAGTAGTATATGTAATGGCTCAGTCAAATCCTGGAGAGAAAGCTGCCACTGGGTCACGAGGGGGTTGACCGATAGATAGGCCTTCACATAACTGGGATATAGCTGAGGTGGGTCCCTGAAGTCCAAGACTTCTCAAACCAGTGTCAAGGTAGGCCTGGTGAGGAGCCCTTCATTCCTGAAGCCTTTGGGGTACTGAGTCCTCAGGACCTGCCATGATGCTCAGTAGGGGAGTCTGCATTATGTCCACAGCCTGGCTCACACACACTGCTCCCTGCCGCAGCTCTGGTGCCACCAGAACCTGCGAGCATCCTGTCCTGCCTGGGGGCCTTGTTCTTGTCAGGGCCAGGCTGCCCCTCTCCAGGCCATAGTGATGGACCTTCCCCTGAGGCCCTACTGCACTCTGGGCTCTACTGTTCAAAAGACTAGACCTTCACACCACTAAGGGTTTTATTTCATAGATTATGTTGGTAAATTCTGTTTCCAGTCCTCACTGTGGTTCACTCACACATTTCCCAACATCTGCTTCTTTCTCCAGGTCTGAGACACCTCATCCAACGCAGCCTGGTTGTTTAAAGCCTAAAGAGAACTTTTCAAAAGCAGCAACAGATGATTCAGAGAGCTCTGTCCACATCTGCTGAGCCATCTCCTCTACTGTGTTTGCATCGCAAAACCTGGAGCTGAGACACTGTGGCTTCACATTTGCTCCCAACATCAAGGCACAAAGAAAGGAGTCCCCTGTGCAGAGTGACATGAACATGACCAGCGACCTTGTGGGGCCTGAGGCAGTCACTGGGGGAGGCTGGGAGGGGTCAGGAGGAGCCCAGGGGTCGTCCTCAGGCGTACTGCTCTAGGAACTTGATGTGGAAGTCCTTCACTTTCTGGAGCACTGTCTTCAGCTTCTCCACGGGAGGGAGGATGGTCATTCTGCCCAGAAAGAGAGCAGCGTCAGTGTGGCTGCTCAGGGAAGGGGAACAATGAGACCAGCTGCTCAGTTCACTCTGCTGGGAATGGCCATGGCTTGTGGAGGCCGGGCCAGGCCTGTTTCCTGCAACAGCTCAAGCCCCTGGACAGTGACTGGCACTGATAAACGACTTTCACCCATATTCATACATTTACTCGAAACAGGAATTTGCTGGTGTCATGGCTGGCCATGAACACCTGGGCTCTGTGATCCTCCTGCATCAGCCTCCCAAGTAGCTGGGACTGCAGGTATGAACCACTGGTCATAAGTGGAAAACAGAGGCAAAGGCAGGGACAGCATTTAGGCTCATCCACACACTGCTGCCCATTACCCGAGAAGGCCTGTGCCAGCCACATCTGGACTAATGCACAGAACTTCAAGAGCATAACTACCAGTCCTTCCCACAGCTACAGAGGAAGAGTTTACTCCTGCTGGGTGGGACTTTGGTTTTTGTTTTTTTGTTCTCCAGCAGTTGTCCCGACAGGGAGAAAGCCTCCACTCATAACTCTCCTTCCAGAGACTTTCGCTCCTATGTGGGCATGGCTAGCTAGCCTCTCCCTCCAGCCCTGAAGACTGGCCTCCTGAGGACACCGCTGCTTTTGCAGTGCCAAAGAGAGGACCCAGGGATGCTGGCTTGGAATGTGCTCTACACTGACCCCCAACCTCAGCATTGGGTCTGAGTGGACCGTGGGTCTGGAGCTGAGCTGGGCTGAGGGAAGTAGACGCACTGTGTACCCTGGGGGATGTACCCACAACCTAAGCAAAGATGCTCTGTGTACATGGAAGCCACTGTTCTGCACACGTCATGCTCTGTGGGGAGCCCGGGCTGAGCCACGCACCCCCCAGGGCTGGCCAGGGTGCACCTGGAAAGGGTTCTTGGGAGGAGCCGATTCCACTACACAGCGCCAGGGACTCCCAGCAGGCCACAGTGCAGGGTGCAACTGCCAAGCACCTGCTGTGTGCTGTTATCATGGAGTACAAAGAAGTAGGAAGTAAGTAAACACACTCCTAGGGACCTTTCCTTGTGGCATGATAGATGAAAGCAGAGGGGACAGACAGAAGAGCCAAAAAAGACCTCTGAGAGACACCACTGGCACCCACCCAGCTATCCTAACTGGCAGGGCAGGAGCTCAGTGCATCTCTGTAGCAGGAGAGAACAAAGGTGAGATGGGAGAGCCCAACTTGGGAGGACAGAGGCTCCTCTCCTCGCAGTCCTGCGGCCCGCCTGGGATCCAGGGAGGCTGGTGTGCAGAGGATGTCATACCTGAAGTGGTAGGTGCCTTCCCTTTGCCCAAAGCCGCTACCAGGCACCACGCAGATGCCAGTCTCCTCCAGGAGCTTCATACAGTAAAACATGTCCGGAGCCATTTTGTGGGCCTGCAGGAGCAGGGCAGAATTTAAGGTTCACTCCTAGCTTGGTAATGTATAAACACATCACTAAAAACTTGGTGCCACACTTAACTGGAAAGGCAGGTTATCTTTCCTGTAGCAGCCCCTCCCCTGCACAGGACAGGGAGATGCTGCCGGGAGCTGCTCGGGAAGCAGACACGGACAGCATCTCGGGCCATCCAGGGCTGGCAGTGCTGCTGCTCCCCCTCGGCAGCACCCACCCATTTCTGTGTCCGGTTTCTAGCAGCTGCTCAGCAGGCATGGTCAGTGGCCGCCTCGGAGCTGAGCTACCTGGTGCTCTGAAAACAAGGCCCGGGGGCTGCACTCAGGCTTCCATGCCGACAGTGCTTCTCACACACTGGTTTGCAGAACTATCACCAAGGAGCCTATTACACCCACATGCTCAGGCTGCAGCACAGGGTGCCAATTCCGCATGTCTGGGATAGGGCCTAGTTCTGAGCGTGTGACAGCGTTTGTAGGTTCCGGGTGAATAAAGATACCACTTTGAGAACTGCTACTCTGCCCTCAATCCTCCCAGTGAGGTGTACAGCACCATCTAAACATCTGGAAATGCAAAGTCTTAATTAAGCCTCTTCTAGACTCAGTGAACCCCAACTGGCCTGTCAACAAGACTCCAGGTGAGTAGCGCATATGGCCACGTCTAGGAAGCAGGGGGAAGGTAACAGCTTTGCCCTCCGCCCAGCATCATGGGGAACATTCTCTGGGGCAGCAGTGCTAGCAGTGCTAGCTTGGTAGCAGGAAGAGCCCATCTCAGCTGATTACCCGGCACCATGGCCAGCACATCACTGGCCCTGGGCCTTGGAAGACCTGTCACCTTTCTTTCACAGTAAGCATCTGGCTGAGAGGGCCACAGGCCTTTAAGCCCGAGAGCTAGCACCTCTGCTCCCTAAGGCCAGAGCCAGCCCTTGACACAGCTGTCTCAAGGAAGCCCTGGGAGAGGAACCCAGCCCTGTGACACCCAGACCTGAGCTGCTTCCACAGCCTTGGAGGGAATGAAGATCCGAGGAAAGGCGTACATGGCACCCTGCAGGGGGTTGCAGTGAATTCCTGGGACTTCATTAAACAGGTCTTCTGTCAGCTTTGCTTTTGTGGCCAGATTACCTAGGACGGACTCCTTCTCCTGAGGAAGACAGAAATAAACGGTTAGCATCTCCCGAAGAAGCCTGGCTCCAGCCACAGAGACCACACTCCTTCTAGCCGGTGGCTCGATCGATACATAAGGATAAGCTGCCTATGTGTGAGCACAGCAAACAGGCACCAACTCAGAGCCTAGGAGACTGCCATGCACCCTGATACACACAGGCAGGCTCTGCTCTCGTACCACCACATGGTCATTCAACAAAACAGAAAAAAAAAAAAATTCTTTGCACATCAATCTGAATGGCCTTGAGTACAACACCCTAGAATACTTCAAGGAGACACGGGCCTCATTTAGTGGGTCCACCGCACTCGTAGCCCACAGGGCCCAGGTCAAGCAGTCAATGCCTGTGGCTGAGAGCTGGACAATGTTCAGGGCTGGAGCAGAACCTCTCAGGGCTTCAGGAAGCACTGTCAGAAAGGGATGTGCATGCGCATCCACACAGGCGCAGTAAATGACACCAGTTGCCTTACTTTGTGGAAGGACTTCTGCCCACTGCACAATGAACCTGGAGGAAACTGTGCGAGACAAGCCAGTCACCAGAAAAAACACCGCTAACCCTACCCCTACGTGGTGTCTAAAGTGGGTGCATTCACAGAGACAGAACTTAGGTGCTGGGGTACCTGCCCTGGGGGAGGGCAGAATAGGGAGTTATTATTTGATGGGATGAAGCTTCAGTAAGTTGAGGTGGTAGCACTATGATATGAACATACCTACTGCCAAGGTTCGTCTAAGTCTAACCTTATACTCAGAGATGGTGAATTTTTTGTTATGTGTATTTTACTACAATTTAAAAGAACAGCAACAGGGCTGGCCAGATAGCTCAGCAGACTAAACTCGGGACCTTGTGCTTACCAGGCCGGCATGTATGCCACAGAGCTATATCCCTAGCCCCTGGTCCTGAGCTTCTTGACTCAAGTGGTCCTCCTACCTCGCCCTCCTGCATAGCTGCAGCTACAGGTGCCTGCCACCATACCCAGCTTCCCAAGTGTCCCTTTTTTGTTTAAATTAAGCAGCGCTGGTTTCTATCACACAACTGGCAGGGTCTTGAGTGGATCACGCTGAGCAAGGAAGATGCCTGGTTAGGCTGGAAGGAAACCCACACCTCCATGTACAGCCTCCTTCCCCTTCCTCTCGGAGCAATGACAGACACAAGGCCCGCTGCCCAGGGTCTCCTACCACCTTGCAGTCTCAGCCCTCCCACTCCTAAACATATCCTTCCATATCCTAGGACTCCAACTCATGACGGTGGTTCAGGCACCAGGAGGACCATGAACACCCCCTAGAGGAAAGAAAGGCACAAGATCCACCCCCACGGGCTGGTGAGATGGCTCAGTGGTCTAAAGCACCCACTTAGAACAAGCTAAGCTAAGCAAAACACAGGGACCATGGTTCAATCCCCCAGCACCACATGCCAGCCAGCCCCGCCCCCTGGTGGGCTGAGCTGGCCACACACACACACATACACACACACACACTAAATAAATAAATAAATAAATAAATAAATAAATAAATAAAATACTTTAGGGGAAAAAAAAAAAAAAAAGATCCACCCCCACAGAGAACCACACCATGCGAACATGAGGCCATGTGTACAAAGGGCCAACATCACCAGGGCAAGAATTCACTTGTGACTTGGCATCAGACTCACCCTGTGGAACTGCTCAAAGGACTCCTCCCCTGGCACTGGGGGGTTCACGACAATGTCCATGGCAGCCTGACCCGACACTGGTGGGCACAGACGCACAGAGAGCAGCTTCACCAACTGTCCCTTGATCTCAGGGTGTAGGTTGATCACCTCCATGTAGCCTCCTCGGTAGCCACACCTGGAGGGTTGAGGACAGGCAGCATAGCCAGCAGTCACAGAAAGTCCTCACCAACTACATTCTGGATACCATCCCCAACCCAGCACCAAACAGCTCCCCTCAACACCAAAATCCCTGCCACAGCAAGGTGACCAGAAGTGGTAGGTACTAACCCCCTTCCACACAGAAGTGTTCTTTCCCCACTTCCTGACACACTGGAGCAGCAGTCCAGTACTGGGGATGGGATCACACACTGAGAAGCCAGCCACCAGCTCCCTGTCTTCCATTGACCTTGTGGGGTACACTCTCCTTGGACTTCCTCTAACTTTGGACCATTCTGTCAGGGATAAACTTCCATCTTGTTCAAGACACTGTATTTGGGGGGTGTTTTGTTGTAGCAACTTAGCCTAGAACCTAATCGCTCACATCTATTCAAACAATGGGTGTAGCACCCAGCCCTGGCAGAACCTGGCGCAAGCTTGAGGAATAGCCACATGATTCATTAGTGCTAATGAGTATCTTTGTCTGGAATAATTTTTGTCACTTGAAAAAAGAGGCAATCCAAAAGAGAGTAAAGCTGAGAATCAGAAAATAAGACAAAACAAGAAACCAGAGGCTAGGGAGATAGCTCCTGGCAAGCTCAAGGTCCTGAATCTGATTCCTAGTAATAAAAAAAAGAAAGAAAAGAAAAGAGAAACAAAAGAAAAAGAAAAAGAAAAAGAAAAGAAAACCCAGAGACACTCCCACTAACATTTTCTGCTTTAGGCTTCAATGCTGGAGATTGAAGCTAGGATCCTGCACATGTTAAATACACACTGTACCACTGAGCCACACACCTCATCTCCTCAGATATCTTTTTTCCTGCAGTAACTGGGTATCAAATTCAAGACCTTGTGCTTGCCAGGCAGGTGCTTATGTCACTGAGCTATCTCCTTGGCCCCTGACAGACATCTTCAAGCCCTTTAATTGAAGTCTACCTCTGGACTTGAAAAAATGCTGCTTTGGCATAATTCAGTTCAAACTGACTTCTGTGATCTGTAGCCAAACATTCTGACTGATGCAGAATGAAATCACATGAAAATAAACTGACAAAAAATGAGTTTTTAATAAATCTTTCTTGGGGCTGGTGAGATGGCTCAGTGGTCTAAAGCACCTACTTAGAACAAGCTAAGCAAAGCAAAGCACAGGGACCGTGGTTCAA